TGCGGAGAAGCATGGCAGTTGTCAGTTAGGTGGAGCCTAGAGAGGTTGCCAACTTACTGGTGGTTACGTTCGGCTGCGCCTCAAGAAGCTTGAGTAAAGGGCCGTCATTCTGTGCTGGTGGCCGACCTATACATTGCCTACCTCCGAGTTAAATAAGTCCAGCTTGGAAGCGCTGATGCAAAAGCTACCCTCTGCCATGGCAAGCGATATCCTTCCTCAAGACAACGTAGTGTTAGCTTCCTCGACTACGGCGGAGTGGCCCTACAGGAACTCATAATATGGGATAGGTCGAAAAGTACCTCGATATCTGAGGGACTTTTAAGCTTTGAAAACCATCACAAGGTCCTGATATACCCATCTGCAGAAACCCCAGAAGACAGTCTCCACTAATCAGGGATGAAAACATTCGAAATGTTTTTTGTCTTTTTCTAGAACAATTCAATCAAAGTGTCGCAAGAATTTTCGTCCAACCTAATATTTTTGGAAGAGTGAGCTTTCTTTCGGAGGCCCTGATCGCATTGGAACTGTAGGCCTTTCATATTTCACGGTACTAGATTCATATAACGTAGTTAGATCCGTAAGGCACTGACCTACACCATTTTCGAATGTTTTCTTATTCGTAGCAGGTCGACCAAGAGATTGAGGCAGAAGCTGGCCGTTCACCTGCAAATCATGGGAGATTTCCCTGATCCGATCGTGGAATTCACCAAACCCACATTGTGATATCCACAAACCCACATTCAACTTTAGTCCGCCGTCGCCCACTCACTGCGTCCGAGTCAACTCTGGTCGCAGTGGGTTTTCGACGGCGGAGTTGGAAGAGAAGTGTCCAGGAACTTATTGTAAGTTGTAGGAAAGATAGCCCTGGACAGTTTCATGCGGAGAGGGAAGATATTTACCACCGTCCGCTTGTGCCGCGTGCTCCAGCTACATCCTTTCTACGTTTCTGCATGAACTGTCCAGACTACCATGCCCAGACTCATGCCCGGATCCACTCCCACTCTAAAGTCGATATATGGACTGCACAAACCTCTACATCGCAGAAGAGAACCATTAGTAGTACCGTACTCCAAAACCAAGACACATCGTAGATGTTCGGCCGTCCCATCAGGCTAAAAATAATGGTATTCATGAAATTTTTGAAGAAATCGAGGAAGGCCCAACCGTTCATCGAAGAGGTCAACGGAAAAATGATTTGCGACAGAAAGAAAATACAAACGTCATCGGATGGCAACGACTAATTTATTAACAACGTGGAAAAACGGCAGCTCTTGGTCATCGACAGCTCTCAAAAAGTAGCTCAAACAGTGAGAGCAATATCAGTATTTTACGCAAAAAATGAAAAGTCGATGACGGCCGAGTAAGCAAGTCACTCAGGAAGTCTTCAGAATGAGCTGCACTTTGTCCCATTTAAAATCACAGAGGAATCCGTACTCAACCCACAATCTATCAGGAAAGCGGCGTCGCTCATCCCACCTATTCCTAGCCTCTTGTAATAGTTCTAGTCGCAGGCTTATCTCGAACTTTTGAATACTAATGCTGAACATATTTTAGGGTCTCGTTTCACCGAGGCCACATACACCTAGAAGTAAGCAGCTTCATTAGACCATTGAAGCGCGCCAGGTACAGTCGCTGTAATATGCTATATACCCACGGTTGCGTGACTATCTGAAGACATAGACGGGATTTTAGAAGAAATATTCTTGAATATCCATTAAAGAGTGGACAAAGGAGATGAAGCTCATTACTTAACCAAACATGTACCAAAAGCGCTTTTAAGTGCTTTAATTATATGTAATAATATATATGTATGTAAGAAGGAGAGGCTGTCGAAAATGCTCAATTTCGTCGACGTGACACGTTAAAATTTTAGCACTTAAAATTGGTGGAAAAAGAATCTTTGAAAAAATCAAAGAGGACTGTCTCATATGCAAGATAATGTAAGACCATCAATATTGAATGGCGAGGTAGAGTAGAAAGAGAAGAGTGGAGGATAATGGTGTGGAGCAGGGTGATCGTTCCGCCTTTGATGTGAATTCCAACACATACATTAGTCAAAGCAATGATGTCATTACTGCAGCACGTGGTCATATTAGTGGGCGAAAAGACGAATACTCCATTAGCCGCGTCTAATTGTGGGAAACGTCACAGCAGCATTTCATTAAGATCGAACAGGTCTCCCTTTTATTGTCTTTCAAAATATTTTCTGTGATACTTTATTCAGAGAGACGCTATCTTTTTATTTTGGCTCTAATAACCTCGGTGAGCGCACGTGAAGGACTCCTTGCGGAAAGCCATAATGGAGATGAAGACCTTTGTCCAAGCTTGAGGGAGTGAAGGTGCTTGGGAATGAATCTCTGAATCCAATCTCAGGCACGGTAATTTCATTTCGAGTGACGTTGGTTCCAGTTACGTACAAGAAGTCCTTTAAACGTCCCTTCCAAGGTTATGAGCGCTCTTTATTTCATTGCTGATGGTTTCACAAAGCTGATCTGTCTAGACAATCTTCTTCGCTGTGGATGACAGGGCGTGTCAAAGAGCAGTGTTCGGCTGCACCAATCCGAATGAAGGAATGCTAGAGTAGCCTGGATTTGTACGGTCACCACCCCACTCTCTGCCTTCTCGTATTCTTCAACGCTCCCTTCTCTTATTCTCCTATAATGTGCTTGATCAGATTTCCCTCCATGTGACCTCATAGATGAGTGTGACTTCATTTTTACAGGAATCAAAGGTGACTGTTGGCCAAACACCGTAACTGATAATTTAATGTGCTGGCTCATGAACAATAACGTTCTCATATAATGTTTATAGGAAAAGTGAGAGTTGTTCCCAGTGGGTTCTAGCTGTTTTATAGATATTTTCCTCCTTTACAAGATGATGTGGCTGCCTTCCTATGCTTTTGGATTATCAGTTTTTTCTCAACTGGAATGGAGTGCCAGCTCAACAAATCAGAGTTTTGAAACAACTTTTTGCACTTCATCTCTGTTAACTACAGAAGAAGCTCAAATCATGGTATGTATGTGAACGGGGAACTATGCTTCCAAAGACGTTTGAAACTGCTTCAAGTGATTTGGAGATGAAAATTCGCACCTTCTAGACGTACATCGCACGGGAGGCCCTCTCGGGGAACGATTGCGTGCAGAACCGCTCCACCTAGTTTTAACCTTTAACCAAGTGAGTATGATGCCGCAGTGAGGGCATGGGAGCCTCACATCCACCATTCTCCCGCTCTTTGTCATGGACCTCCTTAAATGAGCTGATTCAGCAAACTCTCAGTTGGACTCAATAGGGCATTAGTATCGATGCATGTCTGTGAAGTCGACATTGAAGACTTTGTGTCGCTTAAACCGTTAAAAGCACTTCCATGAGACAGTTGCGGCCGCATACTTAACAAACAGTCCTAAAAGGCTTTGAGGTTTCAAATGTAAGAAGGAGAGGCTGTCGAAAATGCTCAATTTCGTCGACCTGACACGTTCCAATTTTAGCACTTAAAATTGGTGGAAACAGAATCTTCGAAAAAATCAAGAGGGTTGTCCGGAGAACGCGGAACAAACGCTCCCTGGTTCTTTTGCAGGATGACGTGGGAGACCATCAGTTGCCAGTACGGGCTCTAGCCTGCCGATCTGGACTATTTTTCAAAGGTTGGCGGGGCCTCCGACGGTGGACGGAGCTTTTTATTACAGAGTTGAAGGAAAAGATATTCAAGAAAAAAAATAGAATCTCACAAAAAGACGCAAAAGTGGTCGTGGTCAGAGGGGCGGGGCTTGGTTTGCATGTACATAGATGTGCATCTATGAGTACATTCGTTTTGTAGAAGCTGAATGTTGAAAGAATGACGTCGAAAAAATCATTAATATTCAAAACTCGCGATAACTCATTAAAAAAGTGAGCGGAATCGTACCTGTGTCGGTACCAACCCCTTCTGTTCAAGCGTGTGTGCGAAATAGAAAAATGCAAAAAAGTCAGAGGAACCGAGTCACAAAATGAATTTTGGAAACGTGCTAAGAAGTGGGCGGGATGTTGGGGCGGGCCTTGCAGCGGTACCTAAGGGTGGTCTAGTCATCAAATGCCCGGCTGCTAGGCGTGTGTCGATTCGCTCTGGAAAAGTGATGCTGACATTAAGTATGAAATATGTATGGTATATATATTACAAATATTAATGGCTATATATTACATTAACCAAAAAATACCTTATGTGTTTTAGTAGCGCGCAATTACCACGCTATTGAATATTCTCTGGGCAAAAGCCTCGGTTAGATTTTCTGTTCAGAAGCTAGAAATTAACTAGCTAGAAACCACGTTGCAACTCTGGAAAGCACGTACTCAATTCTGTCGAATTTTAACAACAGCGCACAGATACAAATCGTGATCGAGCTGACAGCTCCAGGTCGCATAGCGCTTGCATCTCTTTGAACGTCATTACAACAAAGACTGAGTTATGGGCATAGTCTCGATGCTCTGGCTGGGCTAAACCAGCCGTATCACGCTTTCCAGGTCGCGAGAGTTAACGCCCCCTATAAATTGCGCACCAGAAGCCGCTGTTACTATCTCATTTCAGTGGCTTTTCAGGCGTAAGATGCGGCCATTTGGTAGCCCGTAAAGGAGAAGAGAGAGTGCTGTAGTGGAAGTTGATTGAGAACGGACATGGAGTTCTAAGTTCCTAGTCCTCACCTGGGGGCTTGTCCATAACTCAGCATTTTTCGACAAAACCTTTCCTTAGCGCGAGCTGCGGACGTTGTAGACAGCAGTGTTTATCGCAAACTTTTACAAAGTTAAGTGGTACTACAGGACAAAATACTGAGTCGCACGCGGATGGGTCTTGCCATTTACACTCGTTATCCTTGAGATGGAGTAGGCGTGGCATTTGACCATGAATAAGAAGGCGGCTACTCGTGCAAGCAATTACTTCAAAAAACTGTCATCTTGCTCTATGTTGGCAAAGGCATGTTTCCAACTGTCCCAAGATGAGAACATTTTACGAAAAGCCTAGCTGCCGCCACTCTCAATACAAAGTGAGCTGCTACGCTTGCTTCATCTCAGGGATTTTGAGAGCACATTTCGAACGCCTTTGCGATCTCAAGCCAAAATGCAATGCACGGCGCACCCCAAAATTGATCGATCGATGATGGAAGCTTTTTTCCACCTTTTCACCAACTAAAGCTATATGCATTCTTTCACAGGTATCGATCACAATGAGGCATATCTAAACTAAATGAGACTGGTAAACAGAGTTCGTAAACAATTCAAATGGAGGCACAAAAAGTTCTGAGCAAAGTGCAGCGATCGGCTATTAATGCAGATGATGAATGTTGATGATAAAACGATGAAAACAGCGACAGATGAGCGAGCATGAGGCGGCGAGTGAACTGGTCAACAGGAACGATCGATGTTGCCGCTGATCACAGATGATTGCACCCGACATGTCTACTGATGTTGTAAAGGCGCCACATTTCCTATAAGATAATATCTTTGACCTCTTTTGATAGGTTCTCTGGGCGGCTATTATCTTTGAACCATTAAAGGCCATTTTTCATGTGTTCAAGTACTGGCAAAGTCAGTGTAAGTGATACGTAGCCCCGCTATTATCTCTGCAGCCTATGAAATCGAGTTCCCCTAAACCACCGAGGACTTTCATTTTATCAATGAAATGAAAATTACTACTGCGTCACACAGTCGGTAAAGGGTAGTACACCGCCTGAATATAATGGTACGGCCTGGTGGCCCAATCAAACGTCTGTAAAAATTTTTGCAAAATACTGTCACCCACAGACCTCTTGTAGGATCCCTTCACGTCCTACCAATGAACCTACCGAATATTATCGAATTCACCCGGAATTTTGCTTGTCGTTGAGCGGGGCATGTATAGATATCACCCAAAAAACTACTAGAAATAGTGAGATTGTAGCGAGCCCATTCAGCAGAAGAGGCTGCACTCAAATCTCCCCTCCCCATAGAGATACGTAAGTCGTGGGCCATCTTCCTTATCTAAAGGCCCACGGTCCGGATAAAAACCCTAGGTGGTTTTGCAGAAATGTGGAAGAAAATTTCGCCAAGTGAACCGTCTATGAACTGAAATGCCGAAGGGAACGTTGGAAACGCCCCTTGTAGCCTCCAACAACTGTAGAGGTAAAGACCGGAAAGACCGCGGGCTGGAATGATTTCCGTCAGCTGATTCCCAGAAATCAAACCCCATGACTCTACAGGAGAAAGTGAAACTGCCATCACTCCATGATCTTGCCCGAGCATTACTTCTGGCCGACTTTGGAGGGGCTCTGGAGGGGGGTCATGGACAAAAGGATTAGGACTGTGAGCAACTTTTACGCCTTAATCCTTTACCAAATTTCCGCCGCGAAACTGGCGGAGGGTTGTCCACTTTCACATAGCCCATCGCGGACCGCTCCTTTAACGTGGAGCAATTATGATTTTAGAAGAAACATATTCATTCTGTAACAACCGGGTTCATGCCCTTGGCCAATAGTGTACAACAAGATGACAGTTTTCTCAAATCGAACTTTCCCATGAATTGGCCCCCCCCCCCCTTACGCCGTGTTCAAATATGAAGCACGTAGCCACGCCCTTTGCGCCTCAGCGATACGTAAAATATGAAGTGCGCGTGTGCGACGTGAAGTCAACAACCTAGAAAAGCTTTTTGAGATCAGTTTACGCGGCCCGGCCTCTGTTTTTGGCCAATACTACCCACAGCGAGAAGTGGTGGACAGAATGAACAAGTGTCTTCGCAGTTCTACCACTAGGTAAAAAAATACGTGTGGTGAACACGCTGAGAGGGCTAGACTTCACCATCGCTTTATCAGCCCTATTATTCAGCCCTATTATTTCGCGATATTTTATCATTTTGATCCGCGGTAGTGATGCTGTTTTTCCCTTATTCTGAACCACGAATTTGCGTAGCACTTGTTTGTACAGTAGAGGGGAACTATCTTTCTGCACCGTCACTAGCGGGGTAATAGCGGGGTAATATGATGTGTGAAATGTCGAGCCGGATGTGGAGGGGTGTATAGTACCCATGGAACAGGCAAATTGACGCTAAAGGTCAGCAAGCGGGCCAAATACCCCCTTCCTCCCCAGCGGGAAAGTACGAGCCCCCCTATATATTTCACACAACGATGCTGTTCACTGGTCACTAGAGGTCTCAGCTCTGATTTATTCCACTTGGTTTGCAGTTTCTTATGGCTCTGATGATTGGCGTTCAATTTCGTCATAGTTTTTAGAGAATGGATTTCTAGAGATTGCAATACACCGTCGGGTCTATTTTAATGAATAATTTCTTGAAACCTATCTTTGATGTTTTCAGGCATTCAGTTCTATGACCGTTACCGAGTACAAATTGTGAAAAAGCTATTATGGACGTGCGGCAATCAGGTGTGCTGTCATAACATCACATGCTACCGCCCGAAACATGCGTCATGCCACTACATAGGAGATGTTGTGGTCATAGTTTAGTTTGGCTATTCTTTCAAATTTTCAGTTTTTTATCATAGCCGAGCTCTCCGGTAAAAACTGTTCAACTTACGGCAAGTCGCGCTCTAGATGGGTCGAAGCTGACTTGGAAGGGTGGGGCGACATTGTGCTTTTTCCCATTTGTCTCACTAGATTCTCTGAGGTAAAATCGCAGTGGGCCGGGGCTTTACAGAATTCACTTTGAACTAGGTCCACACACATTTGATTTTGGCTGATTTTTCAAGGAATTCTTATGAAATTGTAAATATATATGATAGCCCTTGAGTGACTTTTTTCCAGCGATGGCAAGAGCTAAGCGCTCAAAGATAGTTTGTGAAGGATTTTTATTTTGTTCTCATTTGACTTTCTTTCAATTTTTTTGCATTTTTCTTTTCTTCTCTGCTTTTTGCTTTTTCTTACATTTCTTCCCTTTTGTTCGAATTATTAGGTGTCGGAAAGTTCTCAGCGTTTTGGGTGTTTCACTTTAAACGATCGTAACTTTTTTAATACTCATCGGATTATCGAAATAAGCACCATTCGAATCAGCACACTTTTGCCAATGTGGCAGCAGTCGAGAAATCCCATCAAAGAAAAAACTGGGTGGTCGAGAATCCACGAAATCTGCGAAGGTCTTTTTTGCCTGGTCCTGTTTGATGAAGTATTTCTCAGCAGGAAAGTTCTGAAAATGTCTGAAAAGGGTGGATATCGCGGGTTGCGTGAAATAGGTCTGGAGAGAATCTATGGTGGCCTTGAGGTAGAACTTCAACCCCCAATTCGTTCAATTTATGGATAGTGATTTGTGAAACGTGTGGGCGGGCGTTGTCATGCAAAAGAATCGGACCCTTTCTTTTGATAAGTGTTGGCTGCAGCTGACAATATTTTCGGTACATTTGGTCGGTTTGTTCACAGTAGGGTTCTGCTGTGATGGTTTGGCCTGGTGATGAAAAATAGTGGATTACAACAGCCGATGACCCACCAAACCTGACCAGAATTTTTTTTCGTGAGGGTTCGGCTTTGAAAATTACCTCGGTGGTTCCTCCAAATCCAACCACTGTCCGGAACGTCTCCTGTTATCATACATGATCCATTTTTCATCACAGGTGACAAATCGGTTCAAAAACGGGTCAATTCTTTTGCGCAAAAGCAGTGAAGAAGGAACCTCGAGACGTGCCGATTCCTGCCGGTCACTCGATTGTGGGGCACCCAATTGTCGAGTTTTTTCACCTTCCCAATGCGTTTCAGACCATCTGCAACAGTGGATTTGCCAAGGCCTAGCTTTTCTGCAATCTCTCGAACTGTTTGGGATGGGTCAGCCTTCAAAATCTCCTCAAAATCCTCGTCAGATATTGCTTTAGGTCGACCGCCATGAGGTTCATCTTCAATGCTGAAATCTCCAGAACGAAATTTGTTGAGCCATTGCCGCACAGTGCTTTCTCTAGCACTATTGGGCCCCCACACCTGGTTAATTTGCTGAGCTGTTTCGATTGCGGATTGCCCCAATTTATAGTCGAAGAAAAAAATCGTCCGAAGTGCTCTT